GAAGAAATATGGGCTCTCTGGGAAAACACAGCTTTGAATGACTTTTTCTCCACCATTTAAGCATCGTGCTGCTCTCGGAATCCTGTGTGGAGCCCACGCTCGGCCCCTCCTGGGCTCCCGGCTGCGGTCTGGCTCCGCTCGGAGCTCTGGGCCGGGGCCAGCAGTGCCCGCGATCCGCGGACAACAGCGCCACCTGGTGTCCCGCAGCCCCGCCCTGGGCCGCCTGCAAACACCCGCCCCCGCGGCCCCCTCCCCAAACCCGGTGTCCCTCCGCCTGGGGGCCACCCCCGTCCCGCCCCGCAGGCCGCCACCTCCACCGAGAGCTCCGGGGCGCTGCGCCTGCCCGGCCCACCTGAGGCTGCCCGCTGCAGGAGGGTCCCTGCCCGTTCCCACGACCCCCCAGCACCCGCTTACCTCCTCCTTCCCCTCTCAGGGCGGCCCCTCCTCCAGGAAGCCCTCAGCATCCCCGCAGACACCCCCCCCACCCCCCTCCCCCAGTCCCTCTTCACCTCTTACCTCCTTCCCGTTCCCACCCCGGACATAACTCACATCTACCCCGGAGGCTGGGCCCGTGGCAGCCTCATTCCTCCCAGTATCCCCGACGCCCCACACCCCCCATGGCCATGACTCCAGTGGCAGCTGGATACGGCCAGCTCAAACCCACCGCAAAGGATCTGTCTCCACAGGCCAGTGAGTTAGGAAACCCTTGGAAACCTTGCAAGGCCATCAAAAGTTTAAGTCTGAGGCCATGCTGCTCAAGCCCTCCGTTCTGCAGATGGGGAAACTGAGGCCCAGGACTGCACAGCAGCTTGAGGTGCCCCCCGGGGCAGCTCTGGGCACGTGGGCTTAAAGGAGGGGTATCCAAACCCCGGAAGCACCGTTCTGGGCCTGCGGAGGGGTCGCAGCCCCTGGGGCCCTGCCTTCAGGGGTGGGGAACAGAGCAAGGAGACAGACCCTGTGACTGCCCCCTCCCTCCCACAGACCCTTGTCACACCCAGACCGCTGGGGCAGGAGCAGGGTGTGCCACAGGAGGGACGGGGACCGCGCAGAAGGCAGTTAGGGAGGGGGTACTGAAGCAGTGACGGCCAAGTCGAGGCCTGACGGGAGGAGAAGCCGGTCCTGTGACATGCCGAGCGGAGCACGTGCAAAGGCCCTGAGGCGGCCGGGAGTGTCCAAGGGTCAGCAAACAGTGCATCAGAGCGGAGGGGAGCAGCGGGGGGGGGGGGGGGACAGACATGCGGGCGGTGCCGGGTGAGCAGCATTTGGGGGCCTGAGAGGCCCAGCCGATCTTGAATGCCACCGGGAGCTTCTAGAACGATCAGAGTTTTGTTCTGGAGAGTCGCCCCCGCAACCAATGGCTGCTGTGTGGAGAGGACTCCTGGGGGGACATGAGGGTGGCAGCGTGCAAGGTGCTGATGTGAGAGAACGGGGGTGGACGAGGGAGGAGGCACAGGGTCTCTCCCCTCAAAAGCGGGGGGGACGGGAGATGCGACCACAGCGGGGGGCCCTCTGCTTGGAGCAGGGGAGCTCCGGGATGACCGCTGGCACACGCATCCCGGGCCCCAGAGGGCGAGGGGTTAGGACCGCACCCCCAGCTTGGGCCGAGCCCCCATCCTCAGCAGGGGAACGGTGCCCGCACTGCAGAGAACGGCCACCAGGTGGCAGGCGGGCCTCACAGATGCCGGGACTGAGGGCGGAGATCGGTGCTCAGCAGGGAGTGGGCGGGCGGGGCCGGGGGCGGGGGGGGGGGGGGGGGGGGGGGGCGGCGGGGCAGCGGGCTGCCGGGACTCGGGGGCCGGGACGGCACCACGAAACCTGCGAGGAGACCTGTCTGAACCTGAGAGCACTGACTGGGGAGGGAGGTGCTCCCGGCCAGGCCAAGGGGAGAGTGGAGGCTGGACCAGGGGAGGCCCGAGGCCGCCAGGGTCTGCCCCCACCCCCAGGGCGGTCCTGGGGTGACCCCCCACCAAGGGTCTGGTTTCAGTGGCGATTCCCGGGCCGAGAGTCTATGCGGGCTTCACCCGGCCCATCCCAGCTGCACCCAGAGGCCCTGCCTGAGATGCCCAAGGATTTGGCACCCAAACTCTGGGCCCTCGGCGCCGATGCAGGGCCCGGGGCGGCAGGGTGCACACAGGGGCGGTCCCTGGGATGCTTTACATCAATCGGGGAATTCAATGTTGTTGGAGCCGCTAAAAACCTAAGAGTAAACCTCCCAGCAGAGGAGGAACTGACTCCAGTCACTCAGGGGGCCTTAAGGGCTGAACTGTGTCCCCTGCAAATCCCTATGTGGAAGCCGTAACCCCCAAGTCCTCAGGATGTGACTGTATTTGGAGCTGGGCCTTCAAAGAGGTGAGGAAGGTAAAATGAGGTCACTAGGGTGACCCTAACCCCACAGGACTGGGGTCCTTATGAGAAGAGGAGGTCAGGACACAGACACACACAGAGGGACGACCCCGTGAGGACACAGGGAGGGGACGGCCGTCTACACGCCGAGGAGAGAGGCCTCAGGAGGATCAGCCCTGCCCACACCTGGGTCTGGGATTCCAGCCTCCAGGACCAGGAGATAATACATCCTGTTGTTTAAGCCACCCGGGCTGTGGACTTTGTTACGGCCCCAGGAGACCTACACAGGGGGCGAGCGGCCAACCAGGCCCCTGGGCCCAGCACCACCAGCACTTACATTTGGTAGAACGGCAGCCTTGGAATCTGGGCCCAGCCCAGCAAGGTCTTCCTGGCCCTTTCCAGCCACTGCCTCTTGAACCCTCAGTTACCTTGGCCGCGAGGAGACCCCAGGAGCAACTCGCAGAGCAGACGTGCTTTGTGCGGTCTGGGCAGGGGCTCAAATCACCCTGTGATAACCCAAAACGCCAGAGACACCCCCCAACTTTCTCCACTCTCTCCCTGCCCCCCACAGCTCCTCCCCTGCCGTCTGGGAGGTGGGAAGGAGGCCGGCCAGAGGGAAGGACAGTCCCCAGCCTGGGAAGCAGACACACGGCCGGCCAGGGCACCCGGGATGCTCACAGCAGAGAGAAGCATCTCCGGCTCACCACTCACCCAGAGGGAGATGACCCCTGGCCTGCCCCAGGGCCTGCCCAGAGCAGGGGTTTGGGGACCTTTCTCTGCAGGCCAATAGCAGCCACCATATGCCCGAGTGCACTTCTGCAAGGAGCTGCGGCCTCTGGGGCCTTGGCACGGACCTGGCTGGCACCGGGGTTACTTCCATAGGTCCTCAGGACCAGGCGAACGGGGGAAGGCTCCATGACCCCAAAAGGCCATCCGTCTTGCTGGGATGGCGGCCGTCCTACTTTTCAAACAAGTCCCTACCTTTATATGAGAAAGTATAACCCAATAGGACAGTAGAAACAAAATGCCGGGACAGTTATCCCGGGAAAGCAAGGACATCCGCCGACACCTCCACAGAGGCAGGAAAGACACCCGAAAGTCAACACCATCACTTTAGAATCATGTCCTCTCATTGGACTTGAAGGACCCCCCCGCCCACCTCTCTGCCCGGGCTGGCACATTCCTTCAGAGGAAGCACAGGGAGCCCCCTTACCCCTGGCCCGGTAAGCGGAGTGACTGACAGATGCCAGTCTCCACACCTGAACAGCACGCTAAACCAAACCAAGCAGCGGCAATTCCAAATTCAGAAAACTCTAAAGGACCAGAGGAGAAACTCCCGCAAACAATAACAAAACAGAGGCCGTCACAGGCTGTACAAGTGATAAGAGCAAAGGCTTTTCCGAGACACCAAAATAGCCTCCAGGAAACATAATGGAAGAGAAGCTCCCATCTGTGACGGCAACTAACAACAACAGCCATTATTATATTAAAAATAATAACAACAACGGTCTAAAACCCACATTACGAAACCATAAAACCCTCCTGGATAAAACAGACACGGCTTGACCATGGACAGAAAGATCCCACCCCAGAGAGATGTCGGTCTCCCCAGATTCATTCATCAAACACCATCGGATTTTTTCTGGGAGGCAGACAAGCTGATTGTGAAGGTCACTGGGGAGAACAAACAAACAGGAAAGAACTGCCCCTGAAAGAGAAGAGCTGGGCACCGATATTAACCACGTGGTAAAACAGATTTTAGTGCAGACATCAGCAAAGCAGCATGGCTGTGGGACAGATGCACGGACAAGCAGCCGTGGACAGAGCAGGGAGATCCCAGAGCAGAGCCGCTGGCATCTGGACATCTGGTTCACAACAAAAATGGCTCCTCAAATTGGGGAGCAAAGACACACTTTGGAGTAAGCGGTGCTGGGAGGGGGCAGACGAGAGGGACAGAGCGAGAGTGAACCTGATCTTCACGCCGGGATGTGCCCACTGCCGTCAACAGTTTAAAACCACACGACTAACCCGGATGAGTGCTTGAGGCAGCTGTGGCTGTTTCTCTATAACCTGAGAGGGGGAAACTCCTGTGAACCAAAATCCAGAAACATCAAAGGGAAAGTGGAGCCGACGGCATGCAACTAAAACAGGCACGGCCTCAAGGCCACGTTACGAGGGCTTGGGGACCCAAGCTTGCAGCCATCAGTTGGCCAGGGCTGGAGGCAACCTGGCCAGAGGCTGGGGCAGGGGCTGAGACACCTGCAGGGTCCGAGTACCAGCCAGACCCGGGGCCACAGCGCAGGCCAAGCAGACCACAACCTCGGCTCCTTGTGCCCGCGTCCTCCTGTCCTTCCTTCCTGGCCCAGCTCAGAAGCCCCCTCCTCCAGGAAGCTCTCCCAGACCACCAGGCCCCGGGGTCCTCCCATTCTTTGGCCTTCTCAGCCTGACGGCCACATCCTGGCAGGTGAGGGTGCCAGGGTAGGGCGTCCCCACACCTCTAGTCCCCCAGTATCAGGGTGAACCTGTAGAGCCAACCAGCAGGGGGGCTCCAGCAGAGGGATGTTTTGTGGGTGGGAGAGGCCAGGAGCAGCTGGCTTCACCCCCTGGTCCACACGCCTGGGGCATGAGAGTGCAGGGCCCCTCACGCAGCTACGTACCATCCAGAAGAGGGTCCCCGTGGCCAGGGCGACATACTGCTCAATGGTGGACAGCACGCTGAAGATGAGGCAGGCCAGAACAATGAGGAAGCTGCGGGACAGGAGGACACGCAGTCAGCGCCCGCGCCAGGATGCCCACCCCTCCCCGCTCAGACACGGCCCAGGCCCGGGGAGCAGGCCCTTCCCTCCCCGGGTCTGAGGGTTCCAAGGGCCACCAACCCTGACCGCCGACCGTGAACAGTGTGCAAAGTGTGGCACAGCCAAAGGCATGTGACGTCACCCGGCCTCGAAGGGATGAGCTCTGACCCAGGCTACGGCGGGATGGGCCTTGGGACCCCACGCCGAGAACCAGACCCTGCCCACCACCTGTCTCTAAGGTGTCCAGGACAGAAATCCACAGAGCAGAGAGCAGCCTGGTGACCTCCGGGGCGGAGGGGCCTCCTTTGGGGGAGGGGAACGTCCTGCACCTGCACGTAGTGGTGAAGGCCGCAGGGCTCTGTGGCCGTCCCGACAACCAGGGCAGCGCGCTCGACACCAGGCTCAGGGGTTGCAGCACAGGTGCCAGGAGCTGGCCGTCTCCTGCAGCCGCTAATGGGGTGTCACCAGAGCCTGGGCTCCCAGGCGGGAGGCTGCTCTGACGCCTGCTTTCCCCTCCCCATCCCGGGGGTGGGGGTGTGGGGAGGCCAGAGGTGGAGCCCACGGAGCTGAACAAAGGGAAGGCAGCAGCCCCTGCCCCGGGGGCCAGCTCCCAGGCTCAGCCCCCCTCCCATCCCATCCCTGCACAGACGGGCTGCTCTGATCACACCCGAACCAGTAAGGCTTCCTGAAGGCAGACCCTCGGGCCCTTCCCTCCACATCCCTGGATGAGACCAGGCCGAGCCCCCAGCCCTCCTCCTGCCTGGGAAGAGGACAACTCTAGCGGGGTCATCCGGGGGCTCCAAGCACTCTCTCCAGGTGGGTCCTCGCATGGCCCCGGGGGTGCAGATGTGGAGACAGCTCTCTGGGCCCACGACACGGAGCCCTGGCCCTCTCCCCACCGAGATCCTGCTGTCCGCAGTTGTTTTTCACCCCCCATCCCCACACGCCTGCCCTGTGCCCACTAGGAAGCCCACTGCATCTCCCCCACTGCCCCACTCCTCCCCACTCCAGCTCACCTTCCCTCCTGGCCCCTCAGAGTCCGCTGAGAACAGGCTGCCCGACACAGCCCACTCCCCCCACACCCCACATTTCCTGGAGGAGACAGGACCCGGGCCGCCCAGATGCTCCTCCCTGCCTGGGGAGCCCACCCCAAGACCCGGCTGCTCTCCCGCAGCTCTCGGGGTTCCCTCTAACAGCTCTCGTCTCCACCTCTCTCCTGGTGCCTCACACAGGCTGGGTCAGCTGGACCCACAGAGCCGTGTCCCAGCCACCCCTCTGCACTCTGCCCCTTCGTCAGCCTTGTCTCTTGTCCTGACCACAGTGCTTGCCTCCACCCTGGGCCCCAGAGTCCACCCTGCCCGGCCACTGACTGAGCCCTCAACATCACCCCCGCATGACACCACGGTGACCCTGACCCCAGCTCCTTCCCAGCATGCCCCGCCCCCCACCTGCCTCGGGGCCTTTGCACCTGCCGGTGCCTCACCTGCAAGCTCCACACCCTCACCCGCAAACGGGACCCAACACTCACCCCCACGTGCCTCCACCTGTGTCCTTCATGCTCACATATCACCGCCGGGCCTGGGACCTGTTTGTCCCCTTCTGCATCGTCCACCCCCAAGACCACGAGCCCCCAGAGGAGGGCTGTGGGGTGCCACCCCCGCCACACCCCCATGCTGGGGACCGGGCCTGGCGCACAGCAGGTACTTAGCCCGCACCTCCTCAGGTGCGCCTCCATCGAGTCCCAGCTCCCTCCTCCGTCCCTCCCATGCTGGCCCTTCCTCTGCGCCCCGCCTTCCTCTCTGCGGGGTACAGCCTGGCTCACACCAGCCCCCACCAGGACGCTGGACCCGAAGCACAGTCTGAACGCAGCCCTGAGTCCTGCAGTGGCTCCCAGCAGGGCCCCGGTAGCCGCGGACCTCGTTTGGCCTGGGGCCTCCCGGGATGGGAGACACCAGCGCCCCAGGGCCCAAGGCCGCATCAAGCCTCCCCAGTCCGTATACCCGGTGCCACCCCCCAGGACTCTGCACGCCCACCATCCACTCTGCCCAACTGCGGACTCGCCTGCCAGCTTGGAAGGGCGTCCAGGCCCGCCCAGTCCCCAGGGAAGCCCTTTAACAGATGTAGCCATGCCTCCCTGCCGGGACCTGAGGGCATCCCTTGTGTGGTGACTGAGACCCTGGGCCCCCACCTCAGGAAGCTTTCGATCTCAGGGGGACACAAGCGAACCCTGGCTGGCAGAGTGAGTGCCTGGCTGGCCTGACTGTCCCTCAGGCACAGAGCTCACTTGCCCCTGGCCCACACCCTGAAGCCCCGTGAGTCCCAGGGCCTCGCTGCCCGGCTCGGCCGAGAGAAACCAGGGCAGGTGAGGTCCCCCAAGGAGGGAGGTGCCCACCCCACCCCACCCCCGCCCCCAGGCCCCGTGGGTGTAGAGGCAGCCACACAAAGAAGCCACACTGCCTACAACGTGGTCCAGGCTGCTTCCGGGCCTCAGTTCCCCCATTGACACAGCCGGAGCCACAGCCCGCGGCCACTGCCTCTCAGGGCAGCGGACATCCGGGCAGGGACTCCGGGGTCAGTCCTGTGGCTGCCCAAGGCTGGGACCAGTGTCCCACCTCATGCCCTCTCCTCCTGAGAAGATGGGCAGGACCCGCCCGCCCATGGCCCATGGGGATACTTCAAACACTCCCCGTCGGGCCACAGGAAGCCACAGATGCTACACACGGGGAAACCGGGGCTCGGGCTCCACGCTTCCCAAGGGTGAATGAACCTCACGTGGTCAAACCACGGAGGTAACGAGGCCAAGGCCCGGGGGAGGGGGCGGGGAGCACGACACGCGTGGTCTCATCTCTCTCTAACCACCCCCCTTCTAAGGGACAATTGTGGTGACACCCAGGGTCTGCCAGGTGATCCAGGACAATCCCCCAGATCCAGATCCTTCTCTTAGCCACACCTGCGAAGCCCCCTTTTCCACACACGGTCACACTCAGATTCAAAGGTCAGAACACCAACATCAGTGCTGACCCGCAGTCCCCACGTCAATAAAACCGGCCTCAGCTCTGAGTCACGTGCCCTGTGCCCCGCACCACTGTCCCCAAGCCTGCAGTGACCCGCAGCCAGGAAGGTGAGGGCCGGGAGGGGAGGGGGCCGGCCCGGGCCAGGCCTGGACCCAGGTCTTTGGGCCCCACTGCCCAGGGCTCCCCAGCCTCCACGGCCAGGATGTGCTCGAAAAGCCCTGAATTCCCTGCTGTCTCCTGTCTCCCAAAGCAGACGAAGCAGACGGAGCCCAAAGCGGCGCATCGTGGTGGGCACTGCCGGCGGCTCGGCCATGCTCTGGGGCCTAGGAGGCCGCCGTCACTCTGCTACAAGGCCTGTCCCTGTATGACTCTTGCTGCCAGGGTGGCAACCGACCGTTCACTGTCGCTGTTAGGATGACCTCGGACAGAAAGCAGAGCGAGGGCTTGTTAGAACTGCGTGCCAGGCAGGAGCACAGAGACCCCGGGTGAGGCCTGGGGAGCGTCCTGAATGGGCTGCAGGTACCACGGCTGCCGGGAGACCTCTTCTACTAGCTGTCCTGTGTCTGGCTGTGCTCAGGGGGCCGGGGGAAGGGTGACTGAGCCTTACCAAGGAGGAAGGTTCTGGCCAGAGCAGCCCTGCCTGGGGCTGTGGACAGGCCTGCATGGAGGGTGACAGCAGGGAGGGTGCCCTCACCCCGAGCTCCGCTCAGAGGTGCACGGAGACCCCCCGCTCTGTGCGCCCAGAGGCTGAGGCTCTGGGTCAGAGCACGGGGCCCCTGCCCAGGAGCTCCTCCCTGGGGACCTGGCTGGAGACTACTTTCCCTGGAGATCAGGGGGTTTGGCGTTCACGATCTCTCCACACTTTGCTAGTCTCAGCCTTGCTGCATTCTGAAGGCTAAACAGCTCTTCAACTATTCGCACACGTGGTGCTAGTTTCAGAAAGCATCCCTTAACAAAGGCGATTCTTGTCCCCTCCAACCTGTCCTGCGTGGGGCCCGGAGCCTCAACGATGCCAAGATAGGGTCCCTGCCCTTCGGGTGCCCGCAGCAGCCTGAGGTGCCTGACACCCCCCTCCTGCCTCTGCGGGGCTGGCCACCACCTGTCCATCCCAGCTCGCCTCCCAAGGCCCCAAAACCAGGCAGCCACAGACCCCCAGGAGCTGGGAGACAGAGGTCCAGGGAAAGAAGGAAACCACCCTGTTCTTTGGATGGGGCGTGGGGAGCAGGGCTGTGGGGGAGAAGAAGCCCCTTCGGCCCCCAGTGCTGCTAGATCCAACTTCCCAGGAGGGCGTGTGAGTGCCCGAGGGAGGTGGCTGCAGCCAGGGGGAGGCAGCTCCGGCCGGAGGACAATGGCCTGCTTGTGCCCTGACGGCTGATCCGCCCCGGGCACTGCGGCCGCCAGCCCCCGCCCCGAGAGACGTCCGGAACGTTATCGGACATCATTTCAGGATCTGTGGCAGCAGGTGCCCTGGAAACACAGAAGAATGCAGGAGCCGTGCCAGGGCCGTGGTCCGCGACTCAGCGGGAGGGCGCTCCAGGGCGCAGGAGGCGGGCTGTAGACTGCACCCCCTTCAACCCCCGCAATGGGCTGGGACCCCCCAGTACCTGGGACTGGCGGGCTCACCCAGGCCGGCACCCCGCAGAGGCGGGGCATGGGCCGGACCCTCGGGGAACCTACGTGAGTCTAACCGTGACGGTCTCTCCAGCCCACAGGGAAGCCTCTTTCAACACCGGGATGTTTCCCAATGACGTTGAAAATGTGAACAAGAAGCACACACTTCACGTGCAAAGGGAATGTGGCCTGTTCAAGGCGCCCTCAGAACCCAGACGTGAAAGACCTCAGCCTTCGGGCTCCCTGGGCTCTGAGCTGAGATTCCGGGACACTGAAATGCAGCGCTGGGACGAATCAGAGAACGTAAGATGTGCCGTTATCTGTGTGC